AAAATAACTTACAAGTCGGGTTAAATAGCTAAAAAATCATAATTATCAAAATTTTACCAAAAATAGAAAAATCTTGGGTTAAAATTCTCAATAGCCACTATATTATATTTTATTGATGTTTCTCATTCGTTATTTTATTCCGTTTGAAAATTAATGATTATGTTTACAACTTCGTTGAAATCGTTAATTTTGCAAATAAGTAAGGAATGGGAAACAACATATAGTGGCTACTTAGAGCCCGTTTGGTAAAAATTAAAATCCAATTAAAATTGAAAATATAGTTATTATTGAGTCCCACTCGTCTAATAAACGTCAACAATAACGGCTAGTTTTACAATTTTAATCCGATTTTAATTTCTACCGAACACGTCTTTAGAATTTTAACACAATAGCGACTTGTCAAGCTAAGTGATTATTTGAGAAAACGTTAAAGTCATTGAAATAATTAACCCTAATTCGTCATATTATTATGGGAAAATTGCAGTAATAATCCCTAACATTTTCAATTTTTTGCAAAATTTATCATAACCTTCAATTTGTACCAACAAAAGTCCTCAATCTTTCAAAAATATACAGTTGGAGTTCAAATGGATGGAAACCATGTAATTGACTGTTAACTGACCAAAAAATTGATTTTGGCCAAATTTGATAAGAGCAAAATAGTAACATATTATTAAAAAAATAGAAATTTTTTATAAAAAAATGGGTTTTCTCCTTCACTTCACCCTCGCCCCACCCTAGCCCATTCCAACCCCCATAGCCCCACACTTGAAAATCAAACATCAAGATCGCGACCTAACACCATCACCACCTTGGGCACCGTCGTCGACGTCGACCATATTTTTGGTCGGCCAGATTTCACGAAAATCGCCACCACATTTTAGATCATGTAGCATCATTGAGCTCCGCCATTTTATCTGTTTCCAATTTCTTCGTTACCAAAAAAAAAAAAAAATCAAGTTAAATGCCTAAATATATCAATTCCTTTGCAGTCCAATCTTTTTCGAACAACTCGAAACTCAATGCTAAGACTGAATATCCGGTTCAAGGATAAAGATTTGAAATCATACCACAAACACATGTTCCATTATAATCAGAGAACTCAAATAGTTCAATTTTATCAAAGGAATATCTCTAATCTCTGTATTTCAGATTGTTTTTCCAAGTAGTAATTTTCATTACCAATTTCAAAAGCAAATGCATCGTACTCCAAATCTCCACACTGATTTTGAGCAATTTCCATTCAGATGTAAGGGAACACAGCATCTGATTTTGAGCAATTTCCTTAGATTTAAACCATTCAGATGTGAGGGAACGCAATTTCTTTAGATTTCAGCAATCTCCACACTCACTGCCTATATTAGTGTTTACTGCCACCATGTGCATCAATTTCCATGATTTTGAATGGTTAGCTGACGCCGAACAGAATAGTGATTATTCTGCATGCTTAAGTTCGACAGGTGATTAACATAGAAGAACGTAAGAAAAAACGCCAAGAAAACAAGCAAAGTCTTTATTATTCATCCAATATGCGAAAATAACTTACAAGTCGGGTTAAATAGCTAAAAATTCATAATTATCAGAATTTTACCAAAAATAGAAAGATCTCAATATTCATACCAAAAGCAAATCACTACAAGTCATCAATGGAAGGCAAGGGCGGTTTCCAGTAATTCCATGTGTTATAATCTTCCTGAACATGTAATAAGAGAAATAATATCCCAAAGATTGGGCTCAAATCGAGTTCGTAATCTATATTGAAAAGGCAAGCAAAATATTACTAAAAAATGCAAAAAATAACTTAAATTGGGGATTCGAAAAGGAAAACAATGGAATTTGTCTTCGAAATTGATGCACACCGAGCAAAGCTGGGTAACCATGACATGCGCACCGAAAAGAGCTTTCCGAATTGGGGTCATGAGCGAGATTCTGATAACCGTAGCCAAAGTTATGGCCAAAATATCAAAACGTGTCCAAAAAGGCCCCAATTAGAAAAGATCGTCTATTACTTGCCAGTTTTGTGCCGATTTGTTTTATTTTTTCGGAAAATATTGTGTTCCAGTTGGCTAGATTTTTGTCCAAGTGTCCTTTTTTTTAACTACTGATGGGATGTAATGGAATAGATAATATCGTTTAGACTTTTGGTGATTGAATGTTAACCCATTTGTACTCATTGCTATTTTCTGAATTAAGAATCTGTCTGGTAGATTTTTTTTCCAGCTTTTCATCATTTTTTGGACCGTTAGGTGGGGCCCAGCCTCTCACAAGAATTCAACATTTGCGGCTCAACGGATGGAAAAGGAATTAAAATCTTCCAAAAAATTTTTGCCAGACATCCTCTAAAACTAATCACATTCTCCAAATAACGATTATATTTTCAATTTTAATTGAATTTTGAGCTGTGCCAAACAAGCTCTATATATGATCCCGTTCTCCAAATTTGTTTAAATTTGTATATTGTTAATTCGGGTTTCTTGCTTTAGATTTATGTATCATTTACATCGGCGATGTTGTTTGTCCTGGCGTTGCAAAAGTTTTTTGTATAACGTATTTCTTTTGTTTCATTCTATGTATATTTAACAATGCAAAATGAAAATCCTAGCAATCTAAGCATTTGTGCAATGTACATCAACTACATATTTTACCAGATAATTATATATATTTTCATTCATCATGTTCTTAATAATAAACATGATGTTAACCACATAAAAACATTTCCCAAACAACATATGTAAAATGTACAAGAGCTATATGTTTGTAAAATTGTCGTTCGTGAGGTTCCTCATAATAAACAACGACAATCACACACACACACATGATGTCAACCACATATGAACCTTCCCACGATCTTTTTAATATTGAGAAAAGTAATGTAGCTTCCAACATTCACATTTCATAATTTCATAGTTAACTGATTCATTTGATTACAAATCTAAGGATATCCTAAAAACAAAATTTTGGTCAAAGCTACATTGTTAGTGTCAGAAACCCCATCATCATCTAGCTTAATAGATGATAATTGAATGCTGGAAAAAAAAATCCTCCACTACTTGAACATTCGTGGACGTCTGATTAGTACGTAAGGTGTATTATCAAATTGAATTGCCTCCAAAACCATTATCACCGATGTATATACAGTCGTACAGGATTAACGTCGCACTCATCTTCATGTGCAGAAACAGCTTCTACTTCATTTCTTTCAGCCTCCAATAGCCGAGATCAGGTGACTATGGTGGACCATCTAGAATGGGAATGACATTCTGTTCACACCAAGTAGCCAACAAACTCTTTAACACATTAATTAAGAGTCAAAGAAAGGTTGAAGAGTTGCTGTTGTGTTTTTCAACAAGTATTGTGCCCATTGGTGAACTATTCCTCTATACAAACCCTTTCATATGTTTGCCAATAGCAATAGTGACGGGAACATACATTATGTAGCAATGATATTGGACACATTCACTCTACAAGGGGGGACATACATTTGCTCTGATCTAAAATTGAAAGAACTAAATTTTGAAAATTTCATTTCAAGAGCAAAACCATTGCGTGCAAGGGTGCCACCATCCTTGAAAGATCCCTGGATAGTGGGTGAACAAGGTGTTGAAACCTACGAAATTCATATATTCATATGAAACATATAGAGTTGGAGATAAACTTTTGCATGAAAGTATATGTCCTGAAACAGGTTATGTGTAAATTGCACGTGCCACATTCAAAGATGAAAAATCCTTTAAAAGTAAAGGTATGTTATGTAAGACTCTGATCCCACCAACCACAAACACGTTCCCTGCATCCATATCTGCATCGAGCAACACCACATTTTGTCAAATTGCTGTAACATGTCATCCATATAATTTGTGTAACTGCAGAAGGAAGTGTTATGAACTATTCAATGAGATGCATTCAACTCCCATTACACATTTCTACAAAACGTTGAATACACCTCCGACAACAGCTTTTACAAATTTTATAAATCTATTCACAGCATATGGCGACATCACATTTTCATACACAAATACGATGCAGACCAGTTACATAACAGATGTTGAAATGAAAATTATTATGGGATTCACATCATAGTAGGTGCAATTACCTCTAACCTGATAAATAACAGATTACAGAAGAATTTCCGAAATTTATGTAAATGCAATCAGAAACCTAATCAGCAACATTCGCCGATCCAAAACAATAGACAAATTGTAGATTAGATCAATCCTAAAATAATTTCTGCCACCAATGATATGATTTCTTTACCAATTGAATTTTTTGAATTTGTTTTGACATGAAGACTCGTTCAATGCACAAGCCTAATGTTTGGTATCACTTTAATTTTTTTCGATGACAAAAAAGGTCTCACGTGTTATTTTAGAAAGTAGTATTTACATAAATGAATTGCATGTTATAGAGTATATTAGGTATATTTTATTGAATCGTAGTATTTATAGATATTTTAATTTTTTATAGGTTATATATGATTTTTTTCCCTATTATTAATTAACTTAAAGTCACTAGAGTGCCAAAACTTAAATTTAATATGCTTATCAGTAAAAACTATCCAAAAATAAATTATATTTCATATCTTTAATTTATTTATCTTTACGTAAAAGAAACTTGTCTATTTATCTACTCATTTAATAGGACTCAAGACTTGCTACAAACTTATTATCTCTACGTTTCGTATCCACTACTTATAAGCACTTAAAAACAATACGAAACAATCACCTGTTTGGAGTATAAGCAAGAGTTGAGTCACATGAGATTAAACTTTGTCCGACCCAATTTCTTAAAAATCATTTTCTACCACATGCTCCATGAAATTTGTAATTTTTATCAACTTTCCAACCACACATTTCATCATTTTTTTTTTATCAAAATCTACTAAAAATCTGATTTTTATCAAAACAAACAAGAGCTAAATTTGTACCAATTAACTTAATCCATACACAAAAATACAGTTGCTATCAATTTTCCCTTTTTTTGTTTTTTTTGTTTTATGGTTATTATAGCTTCCTTGATCTTTTCTTTGGCTGTTTCGAAGACTCGGTTTCCCCTCGGCCCCGTTTACCCACTGAAGGAAGTGGAGCAGCTTCTCGTTTTGGCGGTCTTCCAACACTCCTCTTTGCTGGGCTGCCCTTTTCCTTTCTCTGTCTTGGTTCCGAATTCCTCCTAGTTCCCTGCTCTTTCTTTTCACCGCGCTTCCCATTGTCGTTTTTCTTCTGCTCTGATCCTCTAGTATTATTACTGTCACTAGTGAGTGGTGTATTCTTCAGTGCATCTAACAACCCACCATTGTTGGAGGACGAGCTTTGCTTCATTCTGTTTAAGAAGCTAGCTGCACTTCTTTTCTTCGAGTCTGATGTCGACTGGTTCTTCTTATTGTCAATTTTGGGCTCGGGATGATTAGGGGATGATCCTCCCTTTCCCTGGTTCTTTCCTGATTCCAACATCAAGTTTTTGTTGATATTACTGCTACCTTGATTCTTGTTGTTGCTCTTCTTCGAGTTGGCTGAAACGGAAGCAAACCGGTCTCTCGTTCTTTTCTTGGTTATTTTAGGTTCCTCAGTATTGGCAGATGATTGACAAGCCTGTGGCTTTGAATCCTTCTCTTCAGCAAGCAACGGCGTTTGCTCTTTCTTTCTATCAGCCCCAGAAGATGAGGCAGATGTCTTTGCTGCAATTGAACTGCGTTTACGGCATACTATCATTGATCCCGCTATCCTGGGCTTTAATAGCAAAGAATGTGAAGGTTCGGCGTCTTCTTTCTTAGGGGATAGGGATTGTAGTGAAATTTGTTTCCCAGATGAAGAATCTGACTTGGAGCATTTCTGAGACATCTCTTTTGAAATTATCTGTCGGAGTTCAGTGGCCGCAAGGAACTCAGAGGAATTCTTCTTGAAGAAGACAAGGGCATTGTTGACAAGTAACAAAAGATCGCGGTAGAACTTGCTGCTAGAGCCTGAATACCAACCTTCTTTCAATCTACTTTCGATGGATTCCAGATCCACGTGTTGCCGAATCAAATTCCGATACTTTGAGTTTTCCTACAAAGCAAAAGAAACATGTCACGACAAAGATGTGAATATAAATAGATCTGCAGTGAGTAGTAATTACCAATTCAGCAGAAAACAAACACGCAAATCCATTGGGAAAGGAAACAGCCCACTAGATCACACAGTAAGAGACACTAATAATGGGACCTGAATTTAGCGTTAGAATGTCATCAATTTTGCAATAACATTTTTGTTCATCATCACTGTAAATGCTTTTTTAGTGAATAATGATACTCATCATCGGTCTACACTGCAGTTGGGTTGCTACCGAAAGAAAATCTTGGATGGGACGGTCCTAATTGCAAATGTGGGAGAACCAATCATTGAATAATGAAACCTTGGTATCCATCCTACTCAAATCCCAAAATCTCGACATTCCAGTGGATCCTATCACTCACTTTTTTTCTTCCTCTTACCATTTCGTATCCCGATATCTTAATTTGAGTAGTTCAAAGGACAAGTATCATGACTTAAATGGTGAGTGATACCCCGTGTGTATATAAGATCATCCAAAGTTTTTCTCCACTTACACATTGTCCAATGAAATTGTAATGTATTTTCAAACATAAGATAATGTGAGAGATTTCCCTGTCACATAAATCAATAATCGTTTAGAGTATATAAGGAGCAACACTAAAAAGGAATTTGATATTGCTTATAAGCACAAAACCAAATAAATGCTCAGAGATCCTATTAAAAATTGCACACTTTAAATGCTCGTATATCCTATTGGAAGAGTAAAGGTAACTGAAATTATTTGAAGAACTTCAAACTTACATAACAAATTTTAGAAACCTAAAAGTTCAAGAGGGTTCATTAACAATTTGTACGTAGAAAAATACATATTCTACAATTTGTACTTAACTTCTGATTATACCTTTCAAGCCTCAAAACGAAAGTTCAATGCAATTCCTTGAGCTTGCATATAGAAAACAGGAAAAAGGATTCTCTAAGGATACAATAATGCCTACGTATGCTGACACGTGAAATCCAGACAGATAATAATAAATTAATGCGTAACTCCGAAATCTCTTCAAGGGATTTAAGCCAATATATTTTATCTTACGAAGTGCATTAACGGCAACAACATATTAATTATTCTCATTATCAGATTTTCCGACAATCAACTTGCTACCGACTTCTACAAGAAAATTCAAACCAACGAAATTCCCAATGACCGGACTGGACAACTTTATAAAGTGCAAAAAACAACAATTAGTGACCGGAAAGAGACAATAAAACTTGCTAGTTTCTACATTTGGTTTAGGATGTATCCGAAAATAGATATAGTTACATTTTAAAGTATTTATTTACTTTTTCTAAAAGAATTTTTATAATCTTATGTGGAATTAAAATTACTTTTAATATTTATTTCTTTATTAGAAAATACATAAAGATATATATTAAATAATCACCTTTTGAAATAGTGAATAAACCTTTGCACATTCACCTTCACAATTTTTTTTATTTTCTTTTTGCAATAAAAACAAAAACAAAAACAAAAACAAAATTGATATTTGATATTCACCTGGCTCGGGAGCCGCCGCTCAAAAACTGAGCCGCTCTTATGTGCTCGAAGATTATGCAAAAAGTCAAGCAACGGCTGCGATGCAGCAAGCAAATCTTTAATGGTTCCTGATTGATCAGCGTGGTCACGTTCACCACCACTCGTGCTCCCGCGATGTATCTTATCATTTTCCTCCTTCGATCTACTCGCTGAGCTCTGCACGTCGGAACTCTCTTTTGCCGCTTCATCTCCCCCTCCCTTTGACTCGGCCTCCGAGTCCACCAACCCGACCGAGTCACTTGCCCGCTCAACCTTAACCTCCCGAACCGGATCTTTTTCTATGCTATCTGAACTCCCGTAACATGATTCCTCTCGAACAGGTTTACCCTCTCCGGTTCGATCGGAATCAGCCTTTAAATCTACCGGCTCTTCTCTTGCATCCCCGGTTCGATCAATTTTTTCCTGAAAATCACCGGTTCGGTCCGGTTCTGATTCTTTATCACCGGTTCTTAGCTTCTCGCCATCTAGATCTGTGGAATTTGATTCGTTTACCGACATATGATCCTTCTCCGATTCATTTCCGGCGACCGGTTCTCCGGCCATGGATTGACGCCATACATTCTCTTCCGGTTCCACCTCGTCGTCCTTTCTCTTCTCTTCACCCTTCTTTTCTAGATCTGAGTTTTCATCACTGTTCTTCACGCTCCTCAAGCTCCCTTCTCTCTCCTCTTCCATTTTCTTCATCTTCAACTCTAACGACCTGAACAATAAACATCAAATCAAAAAATCCTTGACTCTTCATTTCCACTAATCTTTACGCTCAGATCTCGAATATTTTAAACATATATTATTATTCATTAAATAAACAGTATACGTAATCAATCGTGAAACAGTACTCGATGTTTAGATCGTAACGTTGGACTTCACGCCGAAGTTCCGCAACCCGGAGTTTCCGGAGCTCCTCCAGCAACGGAACGGAGCCTTTGCTATTGTCGCCGTCAACGTTATCATCATTCAACAATTTATTATTGACGGTGTCGTTTTGGGTTAAATAACGCCGTTTCAGGTCTAGGTATCTCTGCTTGCAGTTCTGAGGGGTCAGTAGAGTTAGGGTAGGGTCGGAGCTCCGCTTCTGAAGTTCAGAGGCAACGGAGTCCCAACGGTCGGTGCCGTAGCGGTTGACGGCGAAGGCCAGAAGGAGATCCTCCCAAGTGCCCCACCGGTGGGTCTCGTCGTCTCCCTCCGCTTCCGGTTTGTCGAAATTGTTCGGTACGGTTCCCTCAAGTTTGGCCATGAGAGATTGAAGGGGTGGTGGTATGATACGGCGCGTACGGTTTTTTAATTGATCAAATCCATTGCAATTTTTGTGTGTTATCAGAGGGCTAGGGTTGTGTTCCTCTCCTCAGTCAAACATCTATAATTCACCATTTTTATTGCTTATATATTATTGCTTATACGTGTTTTTGGGGTTTGGTTTGTAGTCTTGTTGATTTATATGCCGTGGTGGACTTGATTCTCGAGGGTTGGATCATGGGTGGCTGTTTTTCGGTTTTCTAATTACCCTATTATTCAACTAGGGAAAAATTACATTGGTGGTCACCCAACTTACATATTGTGCATGTTGGTTACTTGACTTGAAATTTTTTTTTAACGTATAGCGTTACTAGAAATAACATCATCTCTGGCCTATTGGACGGAATTACCAAAACTAACATTATCTCTAACAAATTTGACATAATTTCAATATGTCTGACATGATCCGTTAGTTGACGTTGGAGTCGATTTGTTTACGAGTCGTTGGTTATCACATAAGAGTAAAATAAAAACTTAATTTGGCAAGACGGTCCTTTAGTAAATGTCTAGCAATATAGACACGTACTTTGAAAAGACATTTAATTGGGGCCCAATTGAGTACATTTTTTTCACATATTTGGCGGATGTTGTGTACATGGACTTGTGCATGTCAGGCGAGCCAAGATCTATTAGGAATGAAAGCAGTTCGATTCATTTCAATTTTAAAAAACAAACTAATTCTATAGTTGTTAGGTATCTTGTAAATGAAACTCACGAGTTTAACTTTAATTATAGAACCACAACAATCTAAAAAATAATACAATCTAGTGTGTTCATAATTATATTTCATTATCTGAAACACAACAATCTAAAAAATAATATGTTTCTATCTTAATACAATTTGACTACAATAGTCCAAATTTTAAAAGCACAAACAAGTTATTTTAGTAAAATTCATTCACCGACATGGGCGAATTTCATTTTCATCTGATTAATTCGTTCACCAATGTACATGAATCACCAACGAATAATTCACATGAACCATACAGGTGTTGTGTTGGTAACACTTGTATGGTGCATTTTTTTGTCATTATTGGGTTCTAAAACCATTGAAAAATTTTCAAGTGTTGTTCTGTAAAACATCTATCTTGAACTTTTGTCCACACCTAATGTCTATGGTGTTGGACAAAATGGTTAATTCAATATAAACATATGAGCATAGTTCAAAAATTGAAATGAATTGATATTTTGTGACTAGAATGAAATAAAATTATAAGTTGGATGGCCTTTGGTAAAACTTTTCCAAATACAAGAGTTTATACAGATGGGTTACACTGGGTTGCCGATAAAATATCCAGTCCAGTCCTATCGACGGAGGAACGTGATTTTTGTCACGCATTAATTCAAACTGATCCACACTGACGTAACAATTGTAACTATGAAACTCACAACAAATTAGATTAAATCCAAGAAAGTCGAATATCATGGTTTAGAAAGTTCGACCCAATAAATTATTGAGTCAAAGAACCAAGATAATCGTCAACAATATCTTGATCTCATGATCACAAAACTTACGAACTTCACTTAAATTGTTGAACGCCAATTCAATTCTTAATAAGTTCGGAATTAGTTTAATGAAGAATGAATTGAAAACAATATACCTTTCAATAATATCTCTCAGATTATGTGTTTTCACAATGACAATAATGAGTCTATTTATAGAGAACTCATAAAAACCTAATTAAAAATGAAATTAATCCTAAAAGATATCAAAAATATACTATAAAAAGAGTTTTAACTAAAATAGAAATCTAGGCAAATTTGGAAAAAATGCATCCGAGTTTACACTATACGGCCACATAGACTTCTAGAGTGCGGTCGTATAGACCATTCAACAACCCTTATTTTGGTTCCAATATGGGTACTGATAAGTGCGTTTTTACATACTTATTTTACTGTTAAAACATGAGCAATTGTTGATTAATATGTTAAAATATAACTTAATTTTATATAATTTATGTTGATTAATATTATCAAAATCAATTTTCAATTCACAAAAGATATATTCCAGATTTTTAGCCTAATATTGATACCCATTTTTGGCATAGTAAAAGTTCAAATTGGAAAATATTTATTTCTATAAAAGTTGTATCTCTTTGAGTTATATTTCCAAAGAATTTTGAATCTTCTAAATCGGATATAGGAAGAGAAAGTTATAACCAAATTACTGATTACTGTGCGGAGACAAAAAATTCACGCGCGAAGACAAATTTTCTTATTCGATTAAAACTTTTTTAAAAATCAATTTGGACGTAATTTTCATCCAATTTCCGACTCCTACTAATACTTAGTAGAATACATATGGAGAGAGCCCTCATACACCATTCCTCTCATCTTTAACTCAAGAAACTCATGGAGAACTAAAACCCTTGGTGAAACTACGAAAGAACTCGGTTGGAATTTGTAATTTCATGTCTTTTATTCATTTAATTTGATCTTTTTCAAATAATGCTAGAATTTAAATTTTCATTCTCTTGAATTTTTATTGAAATCGGTTTAATATTTACATAATTTTTCATGAATTCAGTCATGCTTTTTACATTGTTCAATCAAACTATTTATTAAATTTCAATTTCAATTATTTGTTGTTGAGATTGGTTTAATAATTATTATATCCTTCATAGAGTCATGCTTCTTCTATCGTTAGATTAAATTAGTTGTTGAATTTTAATCTCAATTTCACTTTATTGGTGAATTGATTACTGCCTTATCCTTGATGTATATGATCGATCTTTGATTTTGTTCTAATGAAATTGTGCGAATATGTTTTAAATCTAAATTCTAGAATTACATTTGTAAATTAAATTGATTTTCACGATATATCTTCTGATTAAAGTGTCGAGATGAAAGTATCTAATTGTGTTATAANGATATATCTTCCGATTAGAGTGTCGGGATGAAAGCCTCTAATTGTGTTATAAAAATGAATAATTGATATGATTGATCCAATCCAATTGAGGGAATTCCGACGCTTCACCGCTTCGAATTATTGATTTTAATTTCACGTTTCAACATTGAGTTTTATTACACATTTGAGAGAACAATTCAGCATTTTTGATCCTTTAAATATTCTTTCGTCTTCCCGTGGATACGACACCCCAAATATGTGCTACAACTACCACGTTATTCTTTGAGCGTAATCATGTATATGCGGCCGAATGTATGGTTATATTATGCAGTCGCATAGGCCTTTGATTCAGCTCCCTCGTCCGTTACTTGAACAAAGTTCATTTATCTTGTTTCTTCTTCTATACCCAATACGAAACTTGTCATTTTGCTTGTTGTGATTGATGTTTCGCCCACCGTAGATTGAACAAGTAACCTCATGACTTCCTTAACCTTCTTCACTCGTGACATAGTCATTGGTCCTTTCCATACAATCAATGAGTACTTGTCCTTGCTAGCTCTCGTACCATGGTTCTCATCATTTCCTCCCTCTTCAAAATGATTCGTCCTTGAATCATCACCTGCATCAAATAAGGAAAGATCATAAATATTGAAAGTTGCAGAATTGTTATACTTGGAAGATCCAATTTATAAGTATTGTTTTTGATCTTTCAAGCACTTGAAACGGCCCATCTCCTCTCGATTACAACTATCACTTCCTTTGAGTCGAAAAGCGTTCATTTCTCATATGTACCCAAACACAATCTTTTTGTTCAAATGTAACGCATTTTTGTCCTTTATTTATTTGAGATGCATAAATGTTCATTTTTTTTTCTCAATCTATCACCGCTCTTTATCATGGAGGGACCTTACCAACTCGGCCTTATTATTTCCATCTAAACTACCTCTCTCATTAACGGGTAAATAAATTAAATCCAAAGGTGTTAGTGGATTAAAATCATAAATAATTTCAAATGGATTATAAGTAGTAAAATATGTGGTCCTATTATATGCAAACTCTACGAATGGCAAGCAATCCTCCCAACTCTTCAAGTTTTTATTGAATATAGTGTGCAATAGTTGTATCATAGTCTTATTAACCACCTTTGTTTGCCCATCCATTTGTGGATGACAAGTTATAGAGAATAATATCTTGGTCCCTAACATACTCCGCAAAATCTTCGAAAATTGAATAAGGAACTTAATATCTCTATCTAATACAATACTCCTAGGTACCCCATGTAAGCACACTACTTCTTTAAAGAATAAATTCGTAACATTAGTGACATCATCGGTTTTATGATAAGGAATGAAATGTGTCATCTTACTAAGTCTATCTTCCACGACAAATATGAAATATCTTCATTTCTTAGTCCTCGGTAAACTCAACACAAATCCATAAACACATCAACCCAATACTCACTAGGAATAGGTAATGGCGTATATAAATTTTGAGATAAAACCTTAGACTTAGTCTTTTTATTCCTTTAAATATTCTTTCATCTCCCCGTGGATACGACACCCCAAATCTGTGCTACAACTACCACATTATTCTTTGGGCGTAATCATGTATATGTGGCCGAACGTATGGTTATATTATGCAGTCGCATAGGCCTTTGATTCAGCTCCCTCGTCTGTTACTTGAACAAAGTTCATTTATCTTGTTTCTTCTTCTATACCCAATACGAAACTTATTCTTTTGCTTGTTGTGATTGATGTTTCGCCCACCGTAGATTGAACAAGTAACCTCATGGCTTCCTTGACCTTCTTTACTCGTGACATAGTCATTGGTCATTTCCATACAATCAACGGGTACTTGTCCTTGCTAGCTCTCGTACCATGGTTCTCATCATTTCCTCCCTCTTCAAAATAATTCATCCTTGAATCATCACCTGCATCAAATAAGGAAAGATCATAAATATTGAAAGTTGCAGAATTGTTATACTTGGAAGATCCAATTTATAAGTATTGTTTTTTATCTTTCAAGCACTTGAAACGGCCCATCTCCTCTCGATTACAACTATGACTTCCTTTGAGTCGAAAAATGTTCATTTC